ATAGACCATCTACAGTAACTAGCAATAATAGGTCTACACCTGGCAATGTTACTCCATAATTGAGATGTTTTCCTACCTTCCCCTTTCTCGAGCCAATATCCAAATGCCCAATGCCATATTTCGCAAGGAGTACCTGATACCAAAGATGGTCTTTGAGATGGAGACTGCGCCACCACCATTTGCACAACAGTGCTTGATTTAACAATTTGATTCTCTTTATGCCCAGACCACCATCCTTTTTGGGTATGCAGACTCTATTCCATCTTAACAAATGGAACTTTCGATGCTCAGTGCTAGAACCCACAAGAAATCCCTCATTAACTTCTCAATTTTTTTGACAACTGCTGCAGACATTTCAATAAGAGACATCTAATAGACAGGAATTTTAGCCAGACAAGCTCTTAAGAGAGTTACCCTACCCCCCAAAGAAAGGTATCTTACCTTGAACTCTCTCCAGCACCCAAATGGATTTATGTTGGATTTATGTTCAAGGTAACTCTCTCCAGCACCCAAATGGGTTTCCATAAATCCAACTTACCCAAATTGCTATGGGGAACCTAGAATCAGAAATAGGTAAACCCAAATAAAGAATGGGGAAGGTACCCACTTTATAGTCTAAAACATTCGCCAAAGATGCAACGACAACTTCCTCACAATTAACCCTTACTAGCGAGGATTTATGAAAATTCACTTTGAAACCAATAGTTACCTCACATATATACAAAAAAGTGGCAACTCTATCTACCTGTAAAGGATCCGCATCACAAAAAAAGTAGAGTGTTATCTGCATATTGAAGATGAGAAATTACCAAAGCGGAATTAGCCACAAAAAACCTAGAGAAATGACTAGCTCTTTCCACTTCATTAAGTATCAAACTGAAGCATTTTGCATAGATAGTAAAAAGAAAAGGGGGAAAGAGGATCCTCCTAATGAAGACCTCTAGATGCGAAAAAAAATCTGATAGGACTTCCCTTAAATATCACCGAAAATTTAGCAGAGGAAAGGTATCCATAAATCCAACTGCGTCACCTTTCCCCAAAACCTATACACTTCAAAATTTCCAACAAAATCCTCCATTTCACCCGATCGTATGCCTTTTCCATATCCAACTTCAACAAAATACCAGGTTTCTTACTGAGCACTCTGGAGTGGACACACTCTTCGGTAATAAGCACGCTGTCCGTAATCTGCCTATCCTTGATAAAAGCCGTCTGATTCTCCGAGATCAAAGTGGTAAGACAATTTTTAAGAGCTCTGACAGAACTTTTGCTAAAATTTTGTATAAGCTAGTTAAAAGACTAATAGGACGAATATCAGACATGCTCGAAATCACTGATTTCTTAAGAATTAGCGCCAACAAAATCAAATTCACCCCTGCAAAAATATCACCCATGATCATGAAGCCTCTAATAAATTCCAATAGCTCCCCTTTAACTAGATCCCAAAACTTATGGAAAAAGGCCAGAGGGAACCCATCTGGACCTGGGGCTATGTCCCCAGGCAGAGAGAAAACCGTCTTATATAGTTCTTCCAAAGGAAGGTCCCGCTCCAAAGTAGATATTAAATCACTCGAAAGAGTCTTAAAAAGAACTCTACTAAAAGAAGGGGGCATATTAACTTCTTTTGAGAAAGCTTGCTTGAAATGATTGATGGTTGCACTTTTCAATGCATCATCATTTTTATAATCTATCCCAAGAATAGACATTCCAGAGATATCATTCTGCCTTCTTCTGGCATTGGCAATAGTGTGAAAATATTTCGTGTTTAGATCCCCTTCCTTCGGCCATTTTGAACGCGACATTTGGCGTCAATAAACCTCTCTAGACCTCTGTAATTCCTCCAATTCTTTCAACTTTTGACACTTAAGTAACACAGACTACTCCGACAACATCCCAATGTCTTGAACATTGAGATCTATCAATTCTAAATCAGCAAGAGCCACATCAATCTTCCTCTTAATGTCCAACTTATTTTCTAATGTCCAACTTATTTTCTTTCTTCCATTCCAACAACTTATGTTTGACATTTAAGAGTTTTTTATGAAGTTGATAATCAACAGTACCTTCCACAATTGTAATGACCGAAGTTCTTTTAATCAACTCCACAACCTCTATTTCAAGTAACCATCCTGCCTCCATCTGAAAAGGCCTCAGACCACCATCCAACTGACCTGAGGTCAACAGAATTGGGCAATGGTTCGAAGAAACCATCGGTAAAGCTTTGACAAAGGCAAGAGGAAAAACTTCTAATCACTCCGGCGAAACCAAAAATCTGTTTAGTTTGGACATCACCAAATTAGAAAGACTGTTATTCGACTACGTGAACTGTGCGCCACCAATAGACAGGTCTACCAGAGAATTATTAACAATGAAACCATTGAATAATCTCATCACCGAATTTAATTTTTAAAGATTGTTGCATTATATTACCATACAATCATTGTATGAAATCACTATATATATATATATATATATATAAAAGAACCACCAACAACTTTTACCTATTAATTGCATACCACATATACTATGCTCCCTCCCAAGTGTAGTTAGAGTAGTTTACTTCTAGTCCTTTGGTCAACCCACTTGGGAGGATTTTTTGTCAATTTAAATTTTGGGAAATTAAGAATGTTTTTCAAGATATTATTTTTTCAAGTGCATAGAGGGTGAAATTAAGAATGTTTTTGATTGAGGTTAATTTGAGTGTCAAATAGGAAATATACGTAAAATTTGGAATCCTAAAATTAATCCTAAGTGGGTTTTATCTGAGCAAGTAAATGAACAGTGTACTCTTGAGGGAGTAGAATGTCTTTTGGCTTATACGAGGCGCGTGTGTAGGAGGACTTCTGACCCATAAGTGGCGGCCGTGTATTGGAGAAATGAAAATACCAAAGTACCGCTGAGTTATTTTGGTTATTTTTATCATTGAATTATTTTTTTTATATTTTTTAGAGGTACATAATTATAAGAAAAAAGATGCCCCATATTTATACCTAATATCATGAATGAAAAAAAAAAATTGAGGATGGAAGAAGTTTGGTTGCATGATGGTGAGTACATCACTGCTCATGTTAGAGATCATAACATCTCGGTGGACTAATAACTCAATTGCCCTAATTTGAGAAAATCCTAAAAACTAACGTTTTGAATGTTACAACATCACAGTTTATGGGAAAATTGTTTCATGCGGGCTGCACCGCATGACTATATATGCGGTTTAAAAAGTGTAAAGCATCTGTTCCATCTAAAGATAATGAAAACTAACGGTTCAAATGTATTTTACTAGAATTATTATTTTTAGTTTTTAAAATATTTTTATTTTTTCATATTCATGATCTCCATATTAGAGATTACGTGTCTTTAAAAATTAAGTAAAAAAATCCATCTAAAAAATTGATTTATTAATAGGCCCGCATTTCTACATATGCGAGCTTGAATTGTTTCAAGAATTTCGGGATGTAGTTGAAAGGAGTGTACAAAATTCGACTTGCTTCAGGGCTCGCTGGGTGCCTAGAGCTAGTCCACCCTGCGAGCCCTGAGTAAACTTGCCATCTCTAACCTAAGATGGGCGATTGCTCACAAAAAAATATATGAAAAAATGGAAAAAAACAAAATAAAATTGAAAAAAACTAATGAAAAATCAAACTTTATCCTAGGCCGTGGTTTGCATAAGGTTGCAACCTCAAACAATCAAAATAATGAGCATCTCTAAACTTTGTCATAAAATATACTGTGTCGAAATTTTTTTGGATGGTCTAAAAATCTAATTCCATCTTTAACTATAAAAGATCTATAAATACATGAAAATTTTGAAAATGAATGGTCAAGATAGTTATTACAAGATATGATATTTTAAGGACTTTGAAATCTTTCTTCCTTTCGTTTTTCTATGTCCGGTCAAGTTGATCAATTGGAGGGCTTTCCAGCATTGAAATAACCTTTTCCGACGGATTGTTAAAGTGCATAGTACTTCTACAGAATAAGGATGACACCTTGTATAAACTTTTCCTTTCATTAGATGAATTATTAAACATCCTATTCGTTTGTTACTATTAAAACTTTCCATATGAGTGCCAGGTATACAGAGAACTACAAAGGGGAGAAAGCACCAAACCTACGTTGACACGTACCAAGTATAAGCTATAAAAATATTTATATTTTTAAATTTGAAAGAACAATTTAAATACTTTCTATTATTCTGCTCATAACTCCAAATGTATTAAAAATTTAAAATTGAAAGTATTAAAATAATCATTTCATTTATTATTGAGTGTAGTAATAAATTTATATATTATTAATTTTCAATTTTTTATAAAATTAAACAAATATTTTGATTTATTTTAAAATATAAAAAAATAACCGCAATCTTCTTTGAATCAACTAAAACGCTGATTTGCTTCATTTTTCAAACCAAATCAAAATAGACTCTGAAGCGAATATGACAATATCAAACTGGAGTGCTTGGGAGGAACATGGAACACTCATTTTTCGACCCTTGTTACAAACAACCTGAAATATTCAACATGATTTAATAAATTTCTATAAATGATTTATTCAACTAAGAGAGAATGGAAGAAGATTAACTCTCAGAGATACAAAGGACTAAACTACAAAAACGAAGGACTAAACTACAAAAACGAAGGACACAAAAGCAACAGGAAAATGCCAATCATTATTAACAACTGCAAATATATTTTTGGAAATATATACAATGCGGCCATTTACTTTTGATACAAAGATGTTACAATCATTATCGACTGTTAGATTTGAAATTGGGTGGTTGATGATATTTCCTTGTTTGGACGGAAAGTTGAAAATAAAATTCTCAAATGTTGTGATACACTTTCACAAAATAAATTTCACATCTAACGATTAAAAGTGATTGTGACTTCTTTGTAAAAAAAAAAAATAGTCTTGTAGTATAGAATCCCATATAATATGCACTTACCTCTAAAGTTTACATGATATCATAACTCCAACGAAAGCACAGGCTCTTTTATACATATGAAAAGATTGAGATTGCCATTTATATTATTGGATATGGGACAAAACCTACTTAAATACAATGATATGAAAAACTATGCCCCTCAACATTAGACATACACCAACTCTATTATGATGTTGAATCATACTCATAAGGAGGCCAAAAAATAATTTACAAAAATTTGATCCAGGCATATAACAAAAATGTGGGACTTTCACAATCACATCCGTCTAGATTTGGCTCCCGTAGCTCAGTCCAAATTAAGGAAAAATAAAATAAAAATTGTCATGCTTAAACCGATATATGCTAGTTGTTAGTTGTCACAATGTTCAGATTCGAGAACTTCGCCAAATATGCAGCTAATAAGAAGCTACTTCATTCTTCTGGTTCTGGATCCTTCTTAGCTTCAGTTTTCTCCCTCATGTACTCTTCCTCAATAGTTTCCTTAAGGATGAAAAGCCTCTGGATCACTACAGGTTGAGTCATTTGCCTGGCTTCCCTCAAATCCGTTTCTTCTTTGTTAATATGGTAAGCATCCAACATTATCGTTATCCATTTATGAAGTTCTTTGGGTGTCCTGCATAAATAGGAAAGTAATCACAGTTAGGAAGGGAATACAGATAAATCAGCAGAACGTGCACTAGAATCCAAACATGGGAGAACCATTGTCCAGTGGGTTATCAATCCATTGAAATGGACATTGTGAAGAGTGGAAGCCCTCCTCAGCATTGGGCTCGTGTAACCTTATTGCAAGTCCTAGTCTCTCTTCATCACTGTTAGAATTTCCATGGATGGGTGGTGATGACCCAATGGACTGTGGGTTTACCATAGTTCATGGGATTGTAGTACAATACAATAAAATGGGGGCATATCTTACGTGTATAGGATATCAACGTCCTTTGCTTCACGTTCATTCCCAGGGGAGAAAGCAGTTGCCAATGCTGAGAAACGCTCCTCAGGGTCTGTAATGTTAAGCAAATATTTAAGTAGCTTTATCTCTTTTGGGGCAAGGTTCTTGAGGCTGTCCTTTGTAGTCTTGTAAATATGATACATTATGTCTTTAACCTGCAAGGAGTCATTGAAAACTTAGATCGTGCTCTGTATTCCAGCATCTACAAGCCACATGAATTAAGAAAGAATAGATATTGTTGGTTGATCAACAACATGAGAACCACAATATCAATTGCCACCAATGAGAATCTACCCTTGCTGTTTTGGTTCTTCATCATTACAATCTGTAAACTTACTACTCATAAGTTACATTTATTTATTTAGTTACTTCTATTTATTCATTATTTTACCACTACTAGTGGTGCAACAGATGCAACTACTACAAAAGCAAATTAATAGCACCACAACTAATGTACTGATGCTTCTTATGCATGGCAACAATTGTACAAAATTCTAAAAGTTTGACTAGTGACATATTTTTGTATCCTCAAGCAATTGCTGGACATAGCATTATAGATTGCCTACTAGCTCCATTCAAGTAATCAACATCTTTCTTTTAGGTGGGAAGCTGGGAACTTAAATCTCACAGACAGCGTCACAGTCCTGATGCAAACCACTAAACCAAGATGCTGAACCCAAAAAGACGCACATGGCTACTGACATGGAAAGGAAGATTGCGGAAGGAGTTGAACGTTGACACCAAAATATAGGTTTCAATTGAGCTAACAAATAAAATATTTATTAGTTTTCTAAGCAACACTGATGCAAGAAGTCAAGCACTTGAAAAATGACATGCATTGATATATTATTTCCCTTTTTTTAATTGGAGAAAAAATAAACTTCCTTTTGGGGGTAGCACAGGCTATGTCAACCATTGTTAGATGAAATATAGAAATATTATTGGATGAGACTGCACATTTTCACAATTGAACAAACTGCCATCTTTGATAAGACTGAAAGCTCCTTCAAGGGGTTTGTAATATACAACAGTCGCTAAGAATCCTTTCTCAAGTCTGAATTAGTTCACTACTGAGAGCTTCCCGAGCCAAAAGTGATACCTATTGTGAGGAATGGTTTGGTTCACAAAACTGGTGACTTGCAAGTTGAAAGAATGTGTAGGAGATAGATGAGTCTAGGCACTATCTATAAAATCCAGTGGTATTCCCTGCTGCAGAGCTTCCCAAGCCAAAAAGGATGCTCTGTTGCAGTAGACCCCTTTCCCCTACTGAGGTGGAGTGCAGCTCCAAAGCCAAACACAACTACTAAAACCTCCTCAAGAAATAAGAGATCTACTAGTCCCAGCGAGCCAAGGTTAAATGGCTCATGCTCAGTGAGCACAACACCGCTTATTTCCACAAAATTGCAAACTGCAGCAGAAGGGAGAGTTCAATCACCCATCTGAATGTCGGTGGCCACATCCTAGACCAATCTCATCTCATCGAGCAGACTGCTGTCCAATATTTCTCCCAGCTCTTCTCCACTCCAACCTGACCTCTCCTTTTCAACCAATGTACCTGATATGGCAGCCTCTCTTGAAAGACCCTTCTCAGAGAATGAGTTCCTCGGGACAAATGGCTTTCCCTTTGCTCTCTTCAAATCCTTTTGGCACACCCTAAAGCCAGATATCATGGCCTTCTTCGCTGAATTTCACTCCCAGGCCACCATCCACAAAGACTATGAATACTTTTATAGCTTTGATCCTTAAAATTGAGGGAGCTGAAGAACTAAAAGATTTCAGGCCTATAAGCCTGATTCATAGCCCCTAAAAAATCTTGTCTAAAGTACTGGCTTCTCGGCTCAAGTCAGTCCTTGATTGGGTCATCTCTCCAACCCAAGGGGCTTTTGTGAAGGACTACCAGATCCTTGACAGGGCATTGATCACCCATGAATGTATCCATTCTCCATTCACATCCAAAACTCCCGGTCTGGTTATCAAACTAGACTAAGAGAAAGCTTATGACCATGTTAATTCGGAAATCCTAGATGAAACCCTCTCTAGAATGGGCTTCAGGGCCATTTGGAGAAAATGGAACCAAGGATGCATCTCCAAACCTCAGTTCTCAGTACTTATAAATGACACTCCCAAGGGTTACTTCCAAGCTTTGAGAGGGCTCCGCCAAGGGGACCCCCTGTCTCCCTTCCTCTTCGCGATAGTGGCAGAGGTTTTCAGTGCATCCATCTCTCGGATGTACAATACTGGTCTACTCTCGGGCTTCCACATTGGTAGGTTGGGCTCCTCCATCTCCCATCTCCAATATGCCTATGACATTCTTCTTTCTTGCAAAGCCACCCAACAAGAAGTTGACTGCCTTCTCCTTTTTCCCCAATGTTTCGAGATGGCAAGGCGGTTTAGGGTTTTCTTGGAGAAAATTAAGATGATGGGTGTTTGCATTGACTATTCCCTTGTCCAAAGATATGCCGATCGATGGGGGTGTTATGTTGAAGAAGTGCTTCCACCTATCTCGGCCTTCCACTTTGCCTTGGCCTACCGAGAATCCACCACTGGAGCCCTGTTACAGATAAATTTGAAAGGTGACTTGCTGCTTGGAAAGGCAGATTCGTATCTCCAGCCAGAAGAGTGATTCTCATAAAGGCCCCTCTCTCAAATTTTCCCTTATTCTTCATGTCCCTCTTCTATATGCTAGCAGCAGTCATGGCTAGGCTGGAAAAGCTCATGGGGAACTCCCTTTGGTTGGGTGAAGGAGGCCACAAATTCCACCTCATCTCCTGGGCCAAAGTGTGCATACCAAAGCTCAGGGAGGCCTTGGAATTCGCAATCTCAGATCCAACAACATCACCTTAATGGTAAATGGTGGTGACGCTACGCCACCCAAGCCAACCATCTTTGGAGAGAGGTGATCAGGCAAAAGTATTGCTGTGAAGATCATGCTTGGCTCCCCTCATGCCGGAAGGGGGGCAACATCTCAGGCTTCTAGAGGTCCCTCCTCCATTGCTGCCAACGTTTCCTTAACCAAGTGCACTTTACTCCCAGAAGGGGTAACATGGTTAGATTCTAGCCTTACACCTTGGTCGGCTCCACCCCACTTAAGGACCAGTTTCTGTCCCTCTTCCTCCTCGCCTGCAACCCCTTCTCGACCGTGGCTGACAGATTTGTTAGTCCATGAACAACCAGATCTTGGAACCCGAATTTCAGGAGAACTCTCACAGATCACGAGCTCGCAGAATTCGTGGAACTTCTGGGCCTGCTTCACATGGTGTTCCTTCCCCCTTCCGGGGACAACAAGATCATTTGGTCTCCCACCCCTTCGGTAGATTTCTCAGTGGCCTCTTTCTACCGAAGCATTTCCTCCCAACCCATCCATGCATTGGTACCTCCATTCATTACGGCCAAGGCCTGATGCTCCTTCATACCCCCCAAGATTCAATTGTTTAGTTGGATTGCCCTCCATGAAAGGGTCCTTACCATTGACCAATTACAGCGCAGAGGTTGCCTCTGCCCAGCAGGTGTGTTATGTGTTTGAAGGCCGAAGAGACAAACCAACATCTCTTTCTTCACTGTGAAGTTGCAATGGCCCTGTGGTCTAATTTGCTTCTCCTTTTCAACTGGTTGTGGGTCACCCCTCAGTCACCCCCTCATCTCTTCTCTACATGCCTTTGCACCCCTTGGGGCAAATCAGGGAAGCTCCTTTGGAGGGCCTCCATTACCACCAGTCCATGGACCATTTGGCTTGAAAGAAACAGTAGGACTTTTAGAGGGAAGAAGCTCCCATCCCTGTCCTCATCAAAAGCTGATCTACACCATCACTGGGAGGCTCTGTTGTACCTCAGGGCCAAAAGGACTCCACGGGCTTCTCTATGGAGGCCACCTAACATTGGGGTCCCTAAGTTGAACTTCGATAGTCGCTATCTTGGCAACCCGGGACCCTCCAGCAGTGGAGGCATTTTTAGAAATTCTGTAAGGCCTTACCATTGGTACTATGGACTCCACAAAGCGGAGGCCGTCGCTTTTCGTTGGGACTAGCCTGTTTGATTCTGGACCATTGGACTGACTGCTCCAAATATTGAACCAGTTGCTCCACCAAGTCGAGCACAGGTTCATAGCACCAGCTGGTCCAGGAGAGTGACTGGACCAGACAAGGCACTGGTTCACTAAGTCCCAGGGCTGGTCCGGTCCATTCTAGACATCATTGTCTATTATTGACATACACAAATCATACAAGAAATATCTTTATTTAAATAATGTATCCCAACTATGCCCCTAACTAGATGATAAATTTTCAACATACAATCTGATTTAGGTCAAAATGGAGTTTCATAAAAGGTGAAAACTCATTTCTAATACATGAAAGCATTATGTCATAATTTTGGACATCTAATAGTCAAGAAACATGTTATGAGATTGTTCGAAACCATTCAGAAACAAATGATACCAATTCTTAAATGAAGCATGATAAGAAATGGTGCATTTAACTAAACTCTACTGATAGGAGTTACAGCTACTTACAAAATGGAATTCTCTACTTACACACACCCATGCATACACAACATACATACGATTAGTCATACATAAACATGTTATATTGAATGGAATCAGAAGTCTATCTTTATATGTATTGGAATCATGGTTGTTGTGGGGAGTTTCTTTTTATGATAATTATTAGATTTTATCAGCAATGAAAGTAGTGCAACAAGGGAAAAAACAAAGAAACTGAAGACTTTGGGATGCCAAGGCAACAAATCAACGCTATGTAACGTGCATAAAATACTCTCTCAGAATCCCAGTACTAGCTAACAAATCCCCATCCCCATTAGCCTTCATAAGGAAGTGTACAAATAACACATCCTTGGGTGCCCATATGTCATATATCTTATCAAAGATCAACAATAAGTGCCAAGGAGGCATCCTCATTGGCCTCCCTAAGAACTTGTAAAAAGGTCACATCTTTGAATGCACAAATATCAAATTATCTCATCAATGATCAACATTTAACGCCATAAAACAAATGCTTCCTTTTGAACCCATCTGAGTATGCAACACGAAATCCCAAGAAGTCAGGAAGGATAAGAGCCGAAGAAATAGCTACTTCCCTGATGCTCAACCTGACACAGTCTCCCCCACCCTCACATATCTGAAAATACGACTATTAAACTCACTCCATACACCCCAAGTGTGGCAAACCTAAAAAGCCAACATAGATCTTGGGGAGCAATGGTATGGACATCCACACCCTCAGAAAAGCCTCCACTATCGCAGGGAGCAACCAATCCACCCCAAAGAGGCATAATTCATAGGACCAAATGTAAGAAGGAAAACTATACTAAAGAAGCAAATGTCCAACGAATTCTGACTCCTCCCAACACAAAATCCAGATGTTTGACAACTGCATGCCTTGTCACTACCTCACTACCTATTGTCATTGTTAGGAACTTAGGATACCAGAAGAGGACCAAATCCAACCAAATGCTGCACTCTAGGAGTTAAATGCTACAAGCACCCAAAAGAAGGACCTAGTCATGAATGCATCTTTCTCACAAATTTCCAAACACATATATCCATCTATTTATAGGCACATAAACCCATCTTACCAATGGTAGGAGCTTCACTAACTCCCAAGGCTCTGTGTCCCTGAGGTTTCTCTAAAGTTTTGAGTTCCATACCGACATGACACCCAAGAACCATCCTCCCCAGAATTTGCGTGCTGGAAATAGAAACATGTCCCATCACCTGCTATATACTGAATTGAATATGCTAGCCAAATTCACCAAACAAACCACGCATCCTTGTAGAGGTGGAGAAATTCCTAGACTGGCAATAGGTTTTTTTTTTGTTCTCATGATTATCTTGGTGCTTAACAATGCCACTTGCCCATCATCTTCAGCCATATGTTCTCCATAAGTTGAATTTGCAGGCGTCTGAAGAAGAGTGACGAATAGAGGTTGGCACCTCAAGATTATGAATGAAACTTTGGAAATGTATCTTTAAGAGAAAACTTGAGGAGAGAAATGCGCATATGAATTGTACTTCTACTTTCTATTGTGACAAATTTTGTTGCTTCTTCATGCAATCATGGCATGGGAATGTAAGAAACTTGTAGCATGGGACACAAATAAGTGCATTAACTGCCTTGTTGTAATCATGCAGTAAAAACCCTAACATCCTTTCTAGCAATTAAACTGTCTTTTATACTTACAGTGTGACAACCCAACATCCTTGCAAAGATAAACAGGAATTAATAGCCACTACAATCAACACTATAATTGAAAAAACATATCATATCCTATCACATACCTCGTTCTTCATAGTGGTGGATTCTTTTGCAGCTGCCCAAGCACTGTTAATCAAAAGAATCAGTGTGGAGTCAAGTTCCTTTGATTTTGCCAGACTTCTAATCTTTTCACAAGCAATATCCATTGAAGGAGAGTTTAGAACATCATCAAACTTCGCCTGAGCAGCATCAATCATTTCCACACTTTCTGCTGCATTATCATATGCACTTACTGCAGATAAGCACTTAGCCCCGAGCCTTGCCATCTCTGCCCAAAAATCCAGTGGTCCATTAGCGATCTCTGGTGCAGGCTAAGCTACATGAAATTGGAACCAAATCAATTCAAAATAATACTTTTTCATCATAGGACCCTGTTCTCAATAAAGAAAAATATCTGGAAACCAATCAAAGAATCATAGCCTAGAGAAATATTAGAATGATATAACATGAAACAAAGACCTCCATCGTACACAATATAAGTTGTAATCAGAAAGGATTCATAGAGAGAAATAGAATGAGTACCATCCCGTTCTTCTAAGGTATCATAGAGAGTCTCTGCAAGCACATTGAGGTACAGAAAAAAGGCTCCAGTGAAGTCCTTGCGCCTCCTTGCCACCACCGCATTCAGATCTGTTGGGTTTTCACGAATTTCTTTGAGGAGTTCATCGTGCCTTTCCATTTCATCATCAACCTGCGAGATTTAGTAAGTAAAGAGAATTAAGAACCCCAATTTAAACCAGAAAGCAGCAGATGAAATGACTAACAGAAGGTTATGTGTATGAGCTAAATATTTGATTTCCTTGACCAAAATAGTTTGAGATGGGTTACCAGCATACTATAGCATAAGCAATTCAAAACCCACTTTAGAAAATTCCCAAAAAATTAGCAAAGAAGAATAGTCTTTGGGATCAGAGTTCAAAGTCAGAGGCAGTTGAAACTCAAATACAATGGGAAATCAACACTCCAAGGTTCAAACTACTCGCTGACCGATAACTCAAATATAATCAGAAATGGAAGTTAGCATTGCAATGAAGTAAAAGGGATATTCACACTCACAACTATAAATAGACTATCTATAGGTCAAATCTAAAAAGATGGGGAAATTAACAATTCAAAGAAGGAAAAGGAATGCTTAACACGAAATATCTAAGTAAATGCAATGCAGGTATAGCCATCTAGCACTCGGCTATGCCCCTTGCCCATGCACACATGTTCAATCTTGATGGCTATTCTGTACTCTAGTCCACCAGAGACCCATTCGGCAATGTAAAGATGTAAAAATGAAACTTTATCTCAAACTACTTAAAGAACCATATTTAAATTTACACAAACTAGGAAACTACCATTGCAAAGAATTGGAAAGGGAATTTCAAACCACTCAGATATAAAAAGAAGGGGAGTTTAAACAGGCGTAGATGCAAATGGGGAATTCAAAACATCAAAGCACTTCCAAACCAATAATTCGAATCACAATGGGCAATCACCAGCGAAAAGAAGTGAACACTTTCAAGGAAAAATACTAGAAGAAAAGAAATCTGCGAAGTAAATACCATACCTTTTTAAGTTTTCTAGCAAGAATGATAAGTTTCTGTTTCATTGATGGATCTTTCTCTGCATCAGCTCGTGAATGGCATCGATCAAAAAACCTTTTCCTATACTTGTTCCATTCCTCTCGAAAAATCAAGAGCTTCCTCCAATCCTTTGTTTGGGTCTTCTCATTCATCAAAACCTCTATCATCTTGTCACAAAACTGGGTCATTGTGTACCCCTCTGCAACTTCAGCATCGCCCAAAACCTCAGCTTGGGCAGTGGTGTAGAGGCTTGAGAAAGCACAAAACCTCTGATTCTCAATTTGGGTAGGCCTGTTTTTCATAGGGTTACTTTGAAGGGGGAGGGGAGAAAAAGAAGAGAATTTGGATGACAAGACTCCAACTTGGAAACTGATAATATTGGTTTCTCTGATGAACGGATTGGGGTTAGCAGTGACGATAGGTTTGATGCAGGTGGCCATCTTTGCAATTGGACATGCACTGCTCAGTTTGGGAGAGGAGAAAGGAAGCAAAGAAGAGGGAGAGAGAGGGGTTAACTGGCTGTTCTATCCTAGAGTGAGCAGCTAGGTGCTTGCCTGTTTACTATGTTCATTCGTTCATTATCGGAGACCAGAGAGAGTGTGGCTTGAATATTTGTTGCCGGGTAGCAACGGGCCTGTTTGGGCCTTTTTCTTACCCATATTATTGGCGTGGTCATTAGATTTCAAGCCTGATTTTTCTTACCCATATTATTGGCGTGGTCATTAGATTTCAAGCCTGATTTGTCGATCCTTAATACACCCAAATGAATAGAACGGTTAAGATGTTTGAGAATGGCACGGGGGGAATGGTATAGGACTTTAGTGGTAGCGAGTTCTATGGTGACATCTCTGATTCCATGTTTTACAAATGAGAATGAGTAGGGCAAAGATCCCCAATGACTTTGCAACTTTTTTTGTATAATGAATAGGGGCTCAAATCCCCATTGACTTTTCACTATTTTTAGAAAAAGGGACATATCTTCCCCATTGAATTATCCAAAAAAAAAAAGGTTACGGGTATGGGTTGGGTACGACTCAGGTCCAACTAGACCCATTCCCATATCCAAATAGTATTTGGGTCGAGATTTTGGACCCATATTTAGATCTGTGTCGGATAATACCCGCCTGATCCCTAATCGGGTCCGAGTCCATTGCCACCCTTACTGCTTCTTATGATTTATCTGAGGGACACGGTTTCTATGAGTCCATGTACAAATGATTCCTTTTAAAATTCTATTGTTGAGATGGATATTAAGACCATTTTTAAGGACACATAATCTCATGCAGATCATGAATGTAAAAAACAAATAAATTTTAAAAAATAAAAATAAGAGATAGTATACAATGAGACCATTCACCTTTGATATAAGGTGGTTATAATTCTTCACAACTATTTGATGTGAAATTTGATAGCTTGAATGTGTCACAGAGTTGAAAAAATTTCTTTTGAAATTTGAGCTTGGTCAATAGAATAATTGCAGCCACCCAATTTCACATCCAGTGGTCAAGATTAATGTGACCACCTTGTATCAATGGTAAATGATCTCATTCTATATTTTCCCTAAAAATAATGATTTTAGGAAAAAATTATTTGGACCATTAATTTTAATTGTTTTTAAATGAACTGCCTATTTGCATCCATCTTTAAGATTGACACTTCATACTTTGGGGCAGTCGAGCCCGCATGAAACAATTTTCCGGATATGAGTGAGAGAGCATAGATTGTATAGAGGGCGTATACCATGCTCCCGCAAGAACATAGTGTACATATATAATCCCTTGAGTGTATTGGAAAATTATACCCGTCGTATTTTTGTGCAGGTCAATATTGGAAAAGTCGACTCGGGCCGATTAATTGGCCCATGTCCCTAGCCAAGTACTCGTCCGAGTCCAAATAATTTGGCCGGAGTACAATTAAGTATTATAGTACTTGAAAATTATTAAAAAAATCCAAAAAATAGAAAAATATATGTAAAATAGAATTTAACAAAATACAATAAATTGTGGTTAAAAAAGTAGCCAAAAAATAAATTTTAAAAATGAGTTTAAAATGAAAGGAAAATATAAAAAAAAGTATTCAAAACCAAAATGCATTCCATTTTTTGTTAAAATGATATAAAAATAAATAAACATGTTACAAATATATTTTTTATTTTTTTAAATTATATATATATTTATTTTTTATTTTTTATAATATTCCTGAATTGGACCTTCGAGTGAAAACAACTCAAAGCCCGAGTAACTCAAGTCGAATAAAAACCACACAGCCGAGGTGATTGGAGAGAAAGTACTAATGTTATTATAATCCATTCGTGTTTTGGTACGGACCACTCTTTCCACCCTCATTCCCCCACCCAGCGATTGATAGTGCCCACTGCTTTCTAGGATCCTGCGGGTCATATTATTTCCTATTACTTCTTCCCATCGGGTTGGGGTGGCAATGGGTCGGGTCCGATTGGAGGACCTAGATCTGAACATATTAAGGTCCAAGTTTTAGATCCAGACGCAACCTGTCGGGTTTCGGGTCTACCCAATCGGGTCCTGAGTGTGATTGAGTCTATTGCCACTATTATGAGTTTTTTTTTTTTGACCTATTTTTCTATCATATATCAACATTATTAACAACAATGTCACAATCACCCCTTATTAGATTTCAAATCGTTTGATTTGTCATTTAATAACTAAAGATGACTATGATCCTTAATACACCCAAATGAATAGGGCTTGAAGTATTTTTTCTCTAATAGTTTGAGTACAAATTGAGTCCTACCCGACCTGGACCCAAATAGTCTTTGGATTGAGGTTTTGGACCGAGACCCGACCATATCCAGACCTGTGTCGGATATAGCCACCTGGTCTTGGGTCGGATTAGGGCCCCATTGCCATTTATTACAAAGTGAGGGACATGCACATGGGACTGTATATCATAAGGAAGTTTTTTTTTCTTTTTCGATCCCAAATAATTGGAAAAAAGATTTGCTATCTCTAAATAAAAGATGTCTCGTCTTGATTGATTTTCCTTTAGGGCTTGTTTGGATCCATGGATTTTTCGATCATGAGAAAAGTCAATCCTGAAATTGAGCTTTACTAGATTTGACATTTTTTGGAATCTGGTGTATATTGGTTGGATTGTACCTCGTAGAAATCAAGAAAATATAAATTTCTTGTTTGGATTGTCTGAAATATCTTTTTTTTGGAATGCAAATCCTTCATCTCTCTCTTGAAAACTTTTGAGATAGTTTCTCTTTCTAAAACTTTCTCTAAAATTTTAAGACACTCTCTTTCAAAAACTTAAAATTTAAAATAGTCCATCTCTCTAAAAAAATTGACAGTTTCTCTCTCTAAAAAATTTGATAGCTTCTCTCTCTAAAAATTTTACATATTTTATCTCTCTAAAATTTGATATAGTTTCTCTCTCTAAAACTTAAAATTTGGGATGATTTCTCTTTATAAAAATTTTGAGATAGTTTCTCTCTCTCTAAACAATTTCAAGTAGTTTCTCTCTCTAGAATATGATATAGTTTCACTCTTTAACATTTTAAGGTACTTTTTCTATCTAAAATTTAAAATTTGAGGTAGTTTCTTTCTAAAAACTTTAAGGTAGTTTCTCTCTATAAAATTTTTAGGTACTTTCTCACTTTAAAATTTGATATAATTACTCTATAAAATTTTAATATGCTTTCTCTATCTAAAACTTAAATATTGTGAGGGTTTCCCTCTTTAAAATTTTCAAGTAGTTTATCTCCCTAAAATTTTAATATATTTTCTCTCTCTAAAACTTAAAAGTTGAGATTTTTTAAATGATTTCTCTCTTTAGAAATTTCAGATACTTTCTCTATCTAAAATTTGATATAGTTTCTCTATATAAAAGTTTTAAGATATTTTCTCTTTCTAAAACTTAATTTGAGATAATTTTTCTCTCTAAAATCTTCAAGTAGTTTCTCTCTAAAATTTTAATATACTCTTTCTCTCGAAACCTTAAAATTTGAGATAGTTTCTCTATCTATATTTTTTTAAATAGGTACTTTATATGTCTAAATTTTGATATAGTTTATCTCTCTAAAGTTTTTAAGATATTTTCTCGCTTTAAAACTCAAAATTTGAGATAGTTTCTTTCTCTAAAAATTTTCAGGTAGTTTATCTATCTAAAATTTGACCTAATTTTTAATCTCTAAAATTTTAATACGTTCTCTCTAAAACTTAAAATTTGAGATAATCACTCTTTCTAAGTTTTTTGAGATACTTCTTTCTAAATTTTTTTAAGTAGTTCATCTTTCTAAAATTTAATACAGTTTTTTTCTCTCAATTTAAGATATTCTCTCTTTCTCTCTCTCTCTCTCTCTCTCTCTCTCTAAAAACTTAAGATTTGAGATAGTTTCTCTCTTTAAAATTTTAATTTGGTATCTCTAAAACTTTAAATTTGACATAGTTTTTTTCTCTAAAAAATTTGAGATATTTTATCTCTCTATTTTTTTTTGTATATTTTCTCTCTCTAAAAAATTTCGTATGCTTTATCTCTCTAAAATTTTGATATAGTTTCATTTTTAAAATTTTAATATGTTTTCTTTCTCTAAAATTTGATATAATTTCCCTCCGTAAAATTTTAATATTTTTTGTTCTTCAGTAGCAAAATGGGTCATTTCTCCATAGAATGTTAATTCCACCTATTTTGGTGGAATTGAGATTTCCAAAATATTGGCTTAAAATAAGTATTTAGGAATCCTACGAAAATCTCAATTCCAACGGAAACATCGATTCTAAGCGAACCAAACAAGATTGGCCCAACTTTTTCAGGTAAAGTAACTCCTAGAAATCTGAATCCACGGAACCAAAGGGGCCCTTGGAGGATTACGTTTATTTTATCTCTAGCTTTTGCTATATACAAGGGAAATTTAATTGAAATTTTTAGCTCTTTTAATTGGAAATATTTGTATGAAGAAATTTTTAGCTCTTTGAATTGGAAATCTTTGTATGAAAGTTGGATGTTTAAGATTTTTTATTTCAAACGATGGTAATATTAGCTTATTTTCTCATGTTCATCGCTAATCAGAGAAGAGGGAAAGGGGCAACAAAGATGAAAAATAGAGGGGAAATTAGCCAAAAAAATCATGCTAAATGATCTACCTCTTAAACACCTTAATTTGAATTTGGGGAGAGAACTTAATAAAAGTTGTTAGTTGCTCTTCTTCTTCATACATTCCTTTCTCTCTCTAGAACATTGCCATTTGTGGGTTTTTGTTGTTTTTCAACCAACATCTTTGAAATTCATGCCGAAAAATAATTGAAAAAAATATTCGATTGAAAATTACAGGGAGAAAATAATTTAAAAAAATGCGATTGAAAATGATAGAGAGAGAAAGATAGATATGGAAAAAAGAATTTTGCTGTAATGCTTGTGGATAATTAGAAAGATGGGCAATGCCTTTGGGATTTTTTTTTTGTATTTTCTAATAGGTTATTTGAGCTCCTTTTATAAGCATTGGAGCTTATCCCCTTGCCACCTATGACAAATTTTTCATCAAATGGTCTAGATTGCTCTCTACACATATTAATAGCTAAGCTTCCATTCTTTTTTTTTATCATTCTCTCTCTTACCCCAAAGAAAAATATTTGGTTTAAAGTAACTATT